TCGTTATGGTCACTCAAAGTTATGCCCATGCAGGTAGCGTCCATGGCTAAGAAAAGAGAAAACAGGGAAGCCTTCCTTTCCTTTCAACTTTCTTGGGATCGTGATTCATGTCAACCGTGAGATGAAGAGTGACAAAAGCAGGAAATGTCCAAGAAAAGAGCAGCATGGCTGACACGATCCAGCTTGACCATGAGAGACGTCTCGGGAGATCAGGAGCGCTGAGGAGTCGAGAGCATACCGTCAGCTACAGCCATGGAACTCAGCATCCGAGCCAATGATCAAAGTTATTATCTCTTGCCATCTCAAACGATTCCGTTGGGTCGTCATGAAGAACAGCCAGCGTGCAGTTGCCACACCAATACCTTGGGTTTTATGCAAAGCCTGGCACAGCCGCACTATTCAACGAACACACCTCCAACTTGGACAGACCAAACCTGTACTTGAGCAAGAGCCACGGTGTCCTGCGCAAGGAGATTCACATGATATTGGAATTTGGAACAAGCTCACGACCATCCAGAAGAGTAACGTGCGCGCTCGGCCATAAAACGAGTATGATAAAGCTGTGTGCTACAACTTCTCGAACCATTCTCCAACAGCCAGGTCACACTGGCGATCGACTGGTATTTCTGAGCAACAGTATCGCCTTGATAAGATTGCCGCAAGCACGTTCCTTAGAGATCGGAACACTATCCTGATACCCATCACAATGCGATTCCTTCCTCTTGCTCTTCAACCTTCTCATGAGGGGAGCCAAAAACGCAAAAAGAAGCATTTCAGCTCTGAGCTCTTACTCAATGCATTTCCAACACGGGGAATCGAACCCCGGCCTTGTCGGCACTTACATACTGCAATATGAGAGCGACAAATCCTAGCCACTAGACCATATTGGACATCTGAAAGCAGAAACTAGCCCGGTTTCATGTCGGCGGAGGTCGCCAGATAACTTATATTCGTCAAATCTTTGAGAAAGGATGATAGCTTGGCACGCATAGAGCTAACCACCGCCAAGAATGGTGCCGTTCTTGAGAAGGCTTAGTTCAGAGTTAGCGCTTGACCCAGAAGTCTAATTCCACCAGCCCAATTTACGTCATCATTTAGATCTTCGCAAATTCTCAAATCCCTACTATTTGTGCACTGGCAGACAATCTATCTCTGCATTGGAGTCTAAGGCAGCCGATCGCTCGTACTAGCTGTATGCCCTTCGAAGCAATAAGCATGGTGGAGCCTCAAAATGATGGCTTGTTTGAGACTCTGTTGATCAGAAGTTGCGCGATTTGTTCGTCTGAAAGTTCAGCAATGTTTTCCTTTACTAACTAACATAGCTGGCTTGCTGCGCTTCTATCTCAGCGATCTTTTCTATGAAATTTCGCCATAGTCCTACAGCCGCATCTACCTCTCTTACGTGTGCCAGGACAATCAAGTTCGGAGGTCCGTTTCGTCTACCTATGTTATATGCGAGATTCTTACGCATGTTGGTCGTTATGGGCAACATCGTCATATCAAAGCGCAGCTGACGATGAGAAGACGGCACATGAAATGCAAACTGGGAGCATTAGTTGATTGCCGGAGATTGTCAAGGTATCGGATTCGCCCTGTAGATTCCCAGTCTAAACATGAATCTTCACGTCCATGGACCGGCGGGGTAAGCACTATCCCACGCACCGAATCTACTCTGCCTTATGATAACACCTCTAGCTGCAGGATTTGCAGCAGGGTTAGGGTGAGGAAACACCATTCTTGTCGGATCAGCGATACTGCCTGAAGCAAAGAAGGCTTCTATCCATTTTTGGCCTTCTGTGCCTGCAAACATAGGGTCTTTCTGAGCCATCTCTCGAGCTTGCCTTGACCATGTCGATGCTGAGATCTCAATTGTGCTGAGGAGTGTGTCAATGTAGTAGCACCAGAGGTCTCGCAGTCCAGCTCTAGGCTCACCCGAAGCTCGAGTTGGAAGTCCAAGGCCGATACCTCCTTGAGCGACATTTGGTGGCCATGTATAAGTTGTGTCGAAAACGTCAAGAGAATCTTCGACGTTTCCCGCGGCACCAATAAATCTGTCCCAAATCACGCTTTGTTGCATGTATTGGAAAACCCCTGCAGCGTCACGCTGGAAAATCTTGGATTCGCGAAGACCCTTCTTGACTGCGGCGGGAGTTTTGAGACCAAACCATGTGCCCTTTGCACCGTTGATGCTCCGGCTACTAAGGCCAAGGTAGACAATGCTCCGATATCTGCACCAAGATCTGCAAAAAGGAATGGTTTGCCATTAACGGGGTGTGTGTGAACATTGGTGAAGGGGAAGCCCATCAGTACTCCTGAGACCCATTCGTTTGAGGCTGGTTGATAATTTCTTGGCAGTACAGTTCCAAATTGTGTTCCGCCGCGGAGCATATCTAAGAACCTCAATATGACCTGGGTATCTAAAAGATGATCGGTCTGATACTGACTGGGATCAATTTGATTCTTCGAGAATTTGGTGATTTTCGTGGGGCATGTACTTTTGCGAGTATCGTCAGACTCAAAACCCCACCAACGACTGACCCCAGGTTTTTGGGCTGCCTCGCCACATGATGGGTAAGGACTGAAATCAACAGAATCCTTATATCCAGGGCAGAAAGCCTGCCAGTGACCCACTTTGCTTGTGGTCCGCTTAAACGACTGGACATGTTCAAAACCCGCTTCAGTATCGTTCTTGCTAAGATAATTATCAGTCCAACCTAGATCTCGGCTAATGATACTGTCAGTGCAGGTACTTTCGTCCGGATTGCCTTGTATCAGTAAACAAGAGCCACCTTCATCGCGTCTACCGATCAAATTAATGTCGTCCGACTTCTGACAAATCAGACATTCTTCCGGTTGCGCGTTATTGTCTCCACTCGCCGGGCACGATACTTTCGGGATGCTGAACACAGGACCGTAGATTTGTCCTCTCTTCTTAAGGTTCGCTAGAGACTGAGTGGAATGAAGCGACTTCACATGTTCCTCCGAATGCGGCAACGTGTGCATCGTAGTATTGAGCTCATCGCCAGCAACATATCCCAAGTCCCTTGCACCGATTGGGCATGTGCGTGGCACGATTGAGATGGGATCAACATGAGCAAGTTGAAACTGGTGGTTCGGTAAGTTCCAACCGGGGAAGTCGGGCGCAATAGCAGTTGCATAGAGATCTGCGCCGGCATCAATACCATAACAGAAGGAGGAGCCTGCCTTGCCAGTAGAAGCTTCAGCATGGAATCTGACATAGCCATCTGCAAACAAATTTACAGTGGCTTCAAGCTCTGCAATCTTTTTGTGAAACGTAATTCCGAACGATATTGTTGGCATCACGTGGGCTTCGATCGCTCCCACAGCCGAAACTCCGTAATCAAATTCGGGTGCAAGGAGCTCTTGCGTACCATCACGATTGGGATCTTGGTGTGCCTGTGGGTTCCACTCCTCATCTTGTACTGGGTAAGTCTGACGAATATCCCAGGAGGCAAGATTTACGCTAGCTTCAAAGAATGCGGCTAGGGTAATGTCGCCTTTAACTTCAGCATTTAGCACGAAATTTGGTCCAATCGTCACAATTCCAGGCACTGAAAATGTAGCCCCAAACTGATCAGCAGAGAATAGTTTCAAGACCCCACTACTCCACTTAGCCTGAGCGACCGCATCCGCTGTGAATTTGGTAGATATACCTCCACGATTACGGAAGTAGAGATAAGAGTTGGAGAAGTCCAGGTTCTGAAGGTCAGTAATGATGGTCAGCCCGAAACTAGTCTGGATGTCTACGTGAGTCGTTGCCTTCACTTTGAGTTTGCCGTTGACCAAGGTCCCTTTGGGTCCGATAGGGCAATCCGGGAAAGTTTCATCAAGGAGGACAACCGTGAAGTCATCAACGTATGAGTTCGCGATGAATGGTACATCGATATCATCTACACCGTTGAGCAGGCCCTTCAGCCAGGTGACAACATCCGAGCCAAACCAACGCCTGTGCAATTCGTTGTGGTTTTGACCAAAATCTCTCTTGTCCTCTTGCCAGGCATCTTCCAGCCATCTTCTGTGATTTCCGTCATGCTGACTCAGGTCGCGCTTGACCTTGCGCTTACTAGCTGCCTTGTCCACGACCTTGTCCCAGTACCCTGGCTCGTTACTAACATCGATCCGCATCTGTGTCGAGCCCAGATCGCGCGGTACGCGGGAGAAATCGTAGTCGAATGTCAAGTCGTAGATAGTGGAGACTACCACACCCCTTTTGACAAGGTGGTCAGGAGGGTTTTGGTTTCTTGATAGCTCCATGGATTTGACCACAGCATACTTTCCAGGTCCACACCCCCTAGGCATTTCAATAATAGTGCCTGTCGCACCATGTCCGAGGTGAATCTTATGGCAATCTCCGTGCTCCGATTCATCCGTGCACATCATGCGGACAGTCTGAGCTTCCTCAGACTTGGAATCATTACAGTCGAAAACACTCCAAGACGAGCCGTCACGCTCGTCAAGTGTGACTTGCAGCTCAGCCGGAGATGTGATGATGGCGAAGCCGAATTCGCCATTCTCGGGGTCATCGCTAAATGGAATTGCATCAGCAGATCCGCCATATGTGGGATCTACTTTGAGTTTGAATGTAGTATCCACATCTTCTCCAGTTGGTGGAGCTGGAAATAGGTAGTTCAGAGGAACAGGTAGGAACGGCGACCTTCCATCCTCAGGTTCGCAGCAAAATGATCTTTTGCGCTCCAGACGCGAGCCACAGTCCTTTCCCTCTCCTCCGTAGTTAGTGGTGAGAGAAATCGAGCGACCAGTTGGGCAATGGTTGTCGAAGCAGCTGCCTGGTTTTCCATACCACTCGCACTTTTGCCAATGTTGGTCCTTTCCGCAGCAAAATTTTTGTCTCTTCTTTCCATAGCATGGCCCATTATCCTAAGTAAGCTCTGTTTCGTCTGAATTGCAGTCACTACCACAGTTTGTCCATCTACAGATCGGGAGCTCATTGATAGCTGGACAACAGTAGAACTTGAGGCCATCAGTGCAATAACTGCCATCACCCCATCGGTTAGATTGGAGCGCAACTTCACTAGGATGACACTGGCCATTGCAAGTTGAAGCAGTGCCTCGCCATTGACATGTCTTAGGATCGGGCGCAGATGCAAAGGGGCAGCATAGAGAGTTTTGATGGCCCTTGCCATCACAGCGTTGATCTGTCATGCGGACTTCTCCGGTATTGCAACCAGTTATTCCACAAGGAGTGACACGACAGTCGCCGTTTGTCATGTTCTGCCAGTTGTTGACTGCCACGGCCTCAGCGCCAAGGGATCCTAGGGTCTTTGGGTGAATCACTGCCACAAGACCATCAAGTTCTGGAGTATCTTGGTCGAGCGACCATAAGAGTAGGCCCCCGAGTCCCAAGTCGTTGGCAAATTTGATCTTTGCTTGGAAAGTGTCTTGGTCATCGTAACTCACCCATTGATCTGACTTCCACGTAATGTACTTCACTTGATTCTCCTTGTCATAATATGGAGATATATTGTAGCGATCGATGATGTCCATTATCTCGCGGTAAGATAGCGTACCAGAATTGTCTGTACATGAACCAGGCGACGCACCACCTTTGAAAAGACATCCAGGACGGAAGCACGAAGGATCTTTGAGTTGGAATGATCGCCCGTAAAATCCAAGACCAAGATTCACTTTTTCTGCTGGGATGTTGTTTCGCCAGTACAGATCAAATGCCGTCTTGATTTCAGTAAGGTTGGTATGAGCAAAAACGTGATTTCCAATCGCTGCTGTAGTGTTGTCCCAGGTGCCATGAAGATCATAAGTCATGACATTGATCCAGTCCACGTACTTCGTCATTGCAGTGAGGTCAAAATGGCGAAGATACCAGCAAGATGTTGGTGCGGTGAAGGAGATG